GAGGCGCATCCAGCAGATAATGTTTCCAACTCCAGCAGCTGCTGCTTGTGAATTTTTTAACAATTTGAGCAAAGGTTTTAGGCGAACATCCCAAAAACAGGGCGTACATTTAGTCATTTTGTTTGTATATGCTGTACAATGTACAGCCTCATCGCTGCTAAAAGCCTGGTGGCAGCTCTAGTTGTTAGTTTCCAGGAAACTTAGCGCGTGCTAAAGCTGAAATCCCAAACATAAAGTATGCCGTATGCATTGCTAGCTAAAGGCCAGATGGAGTGAAAACGTGCAGTCTAATAAAAAAAATCATTACTAAAACCTAAAAAATTTCTTGTATCATACAAAAAAACATTAAAATGACTGAAAACATTTTTTCCCTTAAAATTTAAAAATCATTTTCATTGTTTTCAGTTTTGGGTCTAAATTTCCACCTGAATGTTTTTCTGATCATGCAGGTTTCAGACTTGTTTTTTTGCACTTTATAGCTGGTTAATCAGGATGAATAAGGCCTGGAGGCTGCGCCCCTGCGTACCCACCTCCATCCACAGCCCTGCCAGCTGCAGGCGAAAGGCTTCTCCCCGGTGTGCCTCCTCAGGTGGGCCTTCAGATGGCTGCTTTTCGTGTACATTTTGTTGCAGCCGGGGAAGGAGCATTTGTGCATTTTGATCAGATCTGAAACAGGATTCTTCTGGAACCTTTGACCTCCTCTGAGAAGCCCAGATCCCTGGCTGGCAGAGCCGTCGCTGAGTCCTAGCGGTTTGGCTGCAATGGGGACTGGTGCAATCCGGACGAACTTTGTGACACTGAAGCTGGGAGACGGCAGGATGTGGGGGACCAGGGCAAAGGTCTGGCCTTGGATGTTGACCAGCAGCTGTGTGATTTGGATATCTGAGGCTGAGGGTGGCTGTGAGGGCGGGGCCACTGGTTCCACTGGGGTCAATGTGGGCTCCTGCTTCACCTCAATGGGTTGGATCTGTAGGACTACTGGAATCCCGTTTCTTCCTGCGGCCCGCTCTACCACACAGGGTTTGCTGGCTGATGTTATGGTGGCTCCTGCACCTGATGCATGTGTTGGGTTGATGGCAGCTGCTTTGCTCACAGCAGAGGCACCAGAGGCTGGACTGGATGTACTGGTTTCTGGCTCTAAATTGGTATCAAGCCTCTCCTCTGCCTCAACTTTAAACCCCTCCTGCTTCATGGTCACCGTCTCCATATTCTCCTCCAGAAATTCTTCAATCTCCTCCAGTGTGGGCTGGAACGACCCTCCCAGATGTTCTTCTGTCTCCACGTTTGACCAGGTGAAGAAGTCAAAACTTTCCTCCTTTATGGACTCGTGTTTGAAGGGCTCCTCTCTCCTGAAGCCCCACTGGACGGTGGACAGTGACACGGATGAGGAGGTGTGTGATGACAGCAGGTGGTCCAGGACGCTGTCGGCGCTGGAGCTGCTGCAGCTGGAGCAGGAGCGAGGGCTGGACAGCAGGCTGACATCATCATCTGAAGGGGGCGATGGGATGACCTGGTAGCAGCCCGGGTCTGACACCATGTCTGGAGAAGAACAAACGTACGGAAAGAGAGTCTCTCGCTTCACTGGAGACTTATCCACCATCCCTGGCTCCACCTTCTGGCTGCCGTCTGCGTTTACGCTGGCATGTAGAAAACGAGTCCTTGGCAGAGGAGAAGGGTAGACCAAACAAAACCAGGGTGACCAAGCCCCCCCTCCCCCTCCAGGAAACACCTGCGGCTGTCCAGGAAATAATCCGAGGCGTCCAGGCTGGATGCAGGATTTCTGCAAGGACAAGAAAACGAGTTAAACTTGAAGCTTTGAAAGTGTCCAACAAGATGAACCAAAGGAGCATCTTTCACATTTATTAACCTTTCGCTTCTCTTCCAGAGGAGAATTTAAAATCCTCCTTCTTAGACTTAGATTTATTTCCATTTTGTACACAAATGGGAAAAAAAAAAGAAATTTAATTTAAAACAGCTCTAGACAATTTCATTTTTTAAATGATGCCAAGAACATTAATTAATCCATAAAAAATTAAATATACGGTTAAATAAATATAATAAATATATGATTGTATATTTAGA